GAACACAGATGACAAACTGAAGTAAGAATAAACATTTAAAAGCTGAAAGAAACTAAAATAAAATCCTTTAAAGATAAATACTTAAATCTTAAAAATTCAAAACCTCCAATAGATTAAACAACTCAGGAATTCATCTCTAGTGAACCCCTAATAAAAATCCAAACTGAATTAAAACAACCGAAAGAACATCCTGATACGCTATAGAGAGAAATCCTACATCGTCGGTAGAGTGAGTAGAAACCTCTGCTCAGCACAAACACGTCTAAGTCTAAAACTATCGTGTACCTAAAATAATAGAAGTGGGTCAGGCCCACGCGCAAGTTCTATACTACTATAATCCAAACAGAGGCCCGATACGCATGTACATCCTAAACAATTCAACAATAGCTAATAGTCCGTAAATATATATATAGTCACACTAAAGGACTCTCACTGGACTACAGGCCGGTCTCAACCTGAATAGAGCTAACATGTTAAAACGCACACGGAGTGGGCATGTGTACCTGAACCTAAACAGGGTACACCTCCAACCATCGTATCCAGCTATGCATCCCAATGCATATACGCTCCCTAACCATCGATCCTGAGACTCAAGCTCATATCGAGGTACCATAACAATATATTTAAAATCCATCATGTATCCTAGTAGTGCCGCTCAACTAGTTGTTGCCATGACACTACAATCAATAGGACTTAACTTTTAGTTAATCCAATTCTTAATCCAGAGTAGGTAGGTTTTGGTGTTTTTAAACCAAACCGTCCCCAGTATACCACCATCCCATACCGGTGTATACTATCCAATCATCCAGCAGTTGATAATACCAACAATTAAAGTAGACCTCAACTGAATCCATATCTCCATCATAGATACTAAAGGCATAATGTAAGCATCAAGGAACAAAGTCAACTATATACATAAACATGTTCAGCTTTATATACATCACTGATATTAACAATTATAATGTAAGCATCAATTAACATAGTCACAATATATACATAAACCTACCCAGTTTAGGTTGTTCCAAAAAATCCGGTATCGTGCCAAGTTTAAATCTTAATAGCATTCAACATCCAGCAGTTGATATTATAGGCAGTTAAGGTAAACATCAACAAAATCCATGCCTCCAATAATGGATACTAGCAGTGATAATGAAAACATCAACACATAATTACAGTATAATTCAGACACATGATCATGATATATGATAAAGCATGTTTTAATTATATTATCTGTCTCAGAAGATTACAAATCACAGAGAATTAAACCAATTCAATTCTTCCGACTCCAACCACAGTGTGTTATTTTGTTTACAACGTATACTGTTCAAGTGACAACCATAATTAGATTATTAACATGCCTCCTGAAGTCTTAGAATTGTCTCTAAGCATCATCCATACACCTCACATATAGCACTAAACTCAACTGAAACCCCAGAGAACCAACCACAACAACCAAAACTGACTGGAAACGAAGAAAATATATAAAAATTCAGCAAGGAGACATCTCCAAAAAGTGGAGCCGCCTCCTTTAGGCCTTGGAGCCGGCTCCCACACTTGGGAGCCGCCTCCACATCAAAGGGAGCCAGCTCTCTCCCTCTCTGCCTCGTCTCTTCATCTTCCCTCTTCTTCAGAACCCTTCTGCAACTTCTCTGCCCTATACTATGGTTCCCATAATTTGTAACTCAAACCCAGTAAGTTCCCAGTCCATGTTTAAGTCTTTAATACATTCCATACATAGGTTTAAATAGAGAATTAAGCAAACAAATAACACGTTTTAACAGGTTTAGCAAGCAAGCAAACATACTGTGATAATCCAAGTTTTAGCATAAACAGGTAACGTTTTTATTGATTAAATCAATCCTAGAATTATATAGGAATGCAAAGAACATGAAGCCTAAGGGAAAGAGTAAGGATAGAATTTGCCTTACACCGACGTCCGTCTCAATTCTCCGGCGAATCCTTTGTTTGTTCTCTGTTCTTTTCCAGCCGTCTCCAAAACCACTCTCAACCTTTCTATGTCGTAGTATTCTTCTAAAACCCAAGGCAGACATCCTAGGTGAGTATTTATAGCCCACCTTTAAACCTAAGTCCAACTAAACCCTAAACTGAAACTCGGCCCATTGAGAAAGCCAAGTTAAAATCAATGACGGTTGTGAACTATAAACCTAACATATGCATCTAATCCTACAGTCACGTAAAAACTAATTAAATTTAATTAAATAAGTTCATACCATTAAAGCAACAACTAATTAAATAACAATTAAGTAATTAATACAATTAAAGCAAAAAGTAAAGCAATTAAATAAATTAACTACAACTAAATCAATTAAATAAACATATATACCCTTTAAATAAATTAACTACAAGGAAATCAATTAAATAAACATATATACACTTAAACAATAAAAAAAATATTTAAACAATAAAGAAAATACCAGGACTATCCTTTTTGAAATTAGGGGTATTACATAATCATATATTTAAAGTCTGTCCAAACCAGAGAATGTCGTTTAATTACTCATTAAACTAACATAAAATCAATCTGGTTAGTCACTCAACTTATTTAGTCAATCTGACTTAACCCTAAATAACCAATAATCCATGTTGTTACTCAACTTACTCAGTTGATCAGACTTAAACAAAATTAGGATTCAATATTTTACAATCATTTCCTTTAATCCAATATGGTAGGTCTTAGCATTTTGAGCTAAGCCATCACTAGTATGCCACCGTCCCATACCGGTGCATACAATCCACAATATCCATAAATTACAGAACCTAAATAACAGTTCAGTAATTAACGTCCAAAATCATGTAAATTACAGAATGTAATAACAGTTCAGTAAATTAACGTCCAAAATCATGTAAATTACAGAATGTAATAATAGTTCAGTAATCAAAGTCCAAAACCATAATTAAGGTAATTATAGAATAATGTTTAATATTTCTGCAATTAAAATCTAAATCATAATCCATGTAATTGCGGAATAAGATTTAATATTTCTGCAATTAACATTCAGAAAATACATAAGTCAAATCTGATAAATAAATAACTCTACTGTGCATCTACAACAAGATTCATAATCCTGTTATAATATCCTGCTAAATTGCTAAAATCAAATTAAGCAATTAATTTCCTTCCATCCGTTAACCACATCCAAAGTTGTTCACTTTCATTCTGATTAAGCCCTTAGCCTACAAGCATTATTTGGACCATACCAGATTTTTAATCCCACATGAAACATGTATTTAGAACTTTCCAGTACAATCCCAAACAGTTCAGAATACTTAGTTCGTCCAAACAACACTCAAGAAAAACCCAGAAGGTATCAAAATAGGAGAACCTGTTCTCAAAACTTGAGGGCACGCTCTTATAAAGCCTGGAGCCGGCTCTAGAGGGGTGGAACCGGCTTTACATCCCCTAGAGCCAGTTCTATTCTTCGGGGAAGCCGGCTCCCTCTTCCATGGAGCCGGCTCTCTCCATCTCTGAGAGCCTGAACCTCTTCCAGCCTTCTGCTTCTTCTCCGGCCGGTTCCACCCCTTCTGTTCTTGGTAAAAACTGAACCTAAAGGTCTAAATTTTATCTTATATCATCCCAATTATTTATTTAAAATAGTTTGCATTAAAAATAAACATACAAACTATTACTAATTTAAAATGCTTATGATTAAACACTGAGATACAATTTTGCAACAACAGTTCCAATCAAAACTAAACACATACAGGCTAATATTCTAACATATATTAAACATGCAAGATTTATTTAATGTCTAATTAAAGTCCTAGAGATCATCTAGGTGTGCACAGAACACAGGCCAACAGGAGAGAGAAAGAAAAGAACTTGTCTCTATGGTTTTTGAATAAAAACCTCGTCGCTGTCTTCCTAAGTTTTTTCGGTGATCGTGACTATCGTCAATGACTCCTCTGCTTCGGTTCTAACCCTCAAACAGCCCTCAACCTTCTTCCTTGGTCCGGCCTATAATCCTTGGCCAAAACCCTAGCTTTTTCTCTCTCAGTTTCTCTCTAAAAACTCTCTGTATCCTCCCGTCCCTTACTGCTACTATAAGGGTTTTTCCAAACCCTATTGCAGACCATCGTATATATTTATAGTTTAAACAGAAGCCAACCCTAGTCCTAATTGAAAACTAAGTCCGGAAAGAAAAATAAAAAAATATAATACACAATACTACAATGTCGTGATAAATAAATATATACATAGTTTATAATTATATACGTATATATCACCTACTAACCTAAACTACTATTATTAGTATTAATAATAAATAATTATTATTAAAAATAATACCCTATCCTTATATACGTATATAACCATAAAAATTCATACAACCATCCATATATGGGTAAATATCCGTACCCACAATCAACCCCATTCACATAGTCCATGAGACCCCTTTGGGTTGATCCATTACTCCTATTCCAAACCATCATTTTAAACTAAAATAAAAGACATATTTAATCTAGCAAATAAAACTTAAAATTAAACACACATCTCATCAAAATCAATTAACAAATAATTCCACACAGCACTTAATTCAATTACACATAAAACAGGAAACCATCTAAACACATAGCCATGTAAGCACCTAAAAATTATAAAATAAATAACTAAAACAATAAGATAAATAATAAAATTCAATTATATCCTTTTTAAAACTAGGGGTATTACACTCATGTTAGAAGTACTGCAAATAATATCATCGCTCCTAATCCAGCATACCAAACATGGCTTTGCCAAGATAAAATAATTTTTGGTGCCCTCATTGGCACCTTCACACCGTTTTTCATCCCTCTTATCACTGAATCGCAGACCTCCCGTGAAGCTTGGAATGTTCTAGCCAATACCTAAGGCCGACCTTCTTGTAGTCATATCAAACAGATCAAGGAACAAATCAAGCAAGCCAATAAGGGCTCCCAGATGATTTCTGATTATATACAGTTTATTAAAAAAAGGTGTTGATGAACTTACAGCCCTCGGCAAGCCTATGGATAATAAGGACCTTATTAAAAAAATTCTTGATGGGCTTGATGATGATTATAAGCCTATCGTTGACGTCATTAATGGCCGTGACACACCAATTTCCTTTAATAAACTACATGAAAAATTAATCAACAAGGAACTCTAGCTGTGTCTCCATCATTCCAACTCTTCTCCACTTCCAGCTTCTACAAATCCGGCTAATTCCTGAGTCAATTCAAGAAACTTTAGCAACCGTACTTAACGCCCACAGTGGGGGCCATCCTTCCCACCTCCGGTGAGTGCTCCTACCTCGGGCTCCTCCAACACCGCAACCCGGGATGGTCGTCCCCTTCCTCAGCCCTACCTGGGTTATTGCTAGTGGTGCCATGTTCAGGATTACACAGTTCCACAGTGTCCTATGTTTCATAAAATGCAGCCAACCTTACAACCACCTCCAGCTTCTCATCAAACTCCTCCATGGCAACCACGCCCTCTGGCTCCATGGCAACCACGAGCCAATCTTATAACTGCTAACACTCCTGATAATTCTAGTTGGCTTCTTGACAGTGGTACATCTCACCATGTTACCACTAACCTGAGTAATCTCTCCTTTCATACTCTTTATGATGGATCTGACGACATCGTGATTAGTGATGGCACGGATCTCCCTATTACCCATACCGGTTCAAAATCTTTCTATACATTCTCGCACATTTTTTCTTTAAATAACGTTCTTGTTGTACGATAACGACCCAAATCCTCATGGATCCGGATCATTAAACGGGTCCTTACCCGACCCAGAATCGTCCAAGGGTAATACAGTCCTTTCACGTTAAATTCAATTATCAAGGTCCAAAAGGGGTAAGATGGTAATTTGCTACAATTTAATAATTTGAGGCTCAAGGGCATAAAAGTCATTTACTTGCATCACACAATAATTAAAATAAGGTCCGGGATAATATAGTCTTTTTGGTGGTCAAAATATATTTATTGCACTTTGATTGGGCCATAAGGTAAATACTCATATAACAATTGGCTGCCAAAGTGTAATTAGGGAAACCAAAGAAAAATTTTATATGTGGGAGAACCGGTTGACGTATGGAAATTCACATGTCAACTGGTTTGGGTCATGAACAGTGGAAAAACCCACTGCCAAGATACCGATCGACATGTGGGAAACTACACGTCGACTGGTTTGAGACGTGCACAGTGAGACAGCTACTGCTAAGATATCGGTCGACGTGTGGGAAGCTACACGTCAATTGGTTCACGCAACTCGGTCGACGTATGGGATTTTACGTCGACCGGTTTGGGTTATTTTCACTCAGTTGCCACTGTCCAAAGAAAAATAGAATATACCACTTTTTGTAACCAACCACTCACGCCACAACACTCACATACGCATTCAAATACATTTCAGCATCAACAATAATAATAATCATAATGTTTACATAATTTACCACACGTTAGTTAATCCTTTAGTGTAATGAGAAGTTAATTACATTTTCCCCAATGGCCACACACAAAATGGGCCTAAATATATCACATGTTACAAAGCAATACATTTTTAGTTAACACTATACAAAATTAGGCCAAATTACAAAGGATAGCAAAAGAGACATTTTTCTACTCCAAGCTAAGGCACGGGTGGATTGTCTTCCGCTATTTCTTTTCCGTGTCCTAAAAAATGTTAAATAAAGGGGTGAGCGTACAGCTCAGTAAGTGGCACTTAAGACACGTCTCTTGTGTCCCCGTGAACCCACAACAAAGAATAGAACAATGGGAATGGGGATCATACCATATCGGGATATTGCAACATACTAATCAACCTCAAGTGTAAACAATGTAATGCAATGGAATGCAATGCATGCCGATGTCACTCCCCATTTTCACTTTCAAACTGTTAATATAACCCGCCCTTTGGTGACGCCGCAGCGAAACGAGAGAAAGATTGGCTAGTGTCCCTGACCCTTGGTACCCCCGCGGCGTCATTATGGGGCCCAGCTAGCTCAACCACGCTAGGGCAATCTCCCTAATTCCCTCTAGGCTATATTAACACTCCGGCCCTTTGGTACCCCCGCGGCGACCAGGTTTTCATAAAACATTTTAACTAAAAACTTCATCCCAAAATCCCTTTTTTCATTTCAAAACGATTCCTTCCATACAAGTCCAATGATGTGCATATGTGTCTCGTGCTTTCATTGCAACAATACTAAGAAATTTCTCACAACACCATTAAACATATTCTCATACTTCATTTATGGTATGTTAACATCATAGTAGACTTAAGAACTCACATACAAGTATGTTTATCATACAACTTAAATTAATACACATCTTCATATATTCATACATGTTTAATTAAGTCAAAGTAAACCATAATCAATACATTTAAGCATGCTAGAACACAAATTAAGTAAATTGACTCACTAAAGCACAAGACTTCATGGATTAAAGATCCCTACCTCTTAGAATGCAAAAACCCTTAAAATGGTTTCAAATTTCAAAAATCAAAGGGATGCTCAAAGCTGGAATTGTTGGTACTCACGCGTAGAGCTCGTCGTGCTCTCCGTTTTGCCTCAAACGGTACTCAAAAACTCCAAGTAATGAAGGAGTAATCAAGTTCCAAAGTCTTGATTGAAAAAAAGGAAAGAAAAAGCAAAAGAAAGAGAGTGAGAAAGAGAGTTGCGGGAGGGAGAGAGATGAGACCACGCATGGTCTCTAATTTGCTTCAAAAAGGCTAAAGTGAGTCCCATCCTCTTTTATTTTATTTTCCCTTTTTCTTTTCATTTTAATACACCACACATGTACATAAAATACACCACCATAGGAATGCTACATAGTTCACATAAAATAAAATGTATGAAATGCAAATGGACTCAACTAAAATGCCGTACGCAAAATATGAAATGACGAAAATACCCTTGCATCAACAGATATCCGGAAAAAAGAAAAATACTGAAAAATGGAAACATCACAATCTCCCCAACTTAAAAGGATTTCGTCCCCGAAATCAGGCCATACCTGGGGAAGAAAACAACTCTGGGTACCAGGAGCGAACCTGCTGCTCAAGCTCCCAAGTAGCCTCCTCGACTCCGTGATGTCTCTAAAGAACTTTTACTAACTGGATTGTTTTGCCTTTTAACACCTTTTGCCGTGTGTCAAGGATTTGCACTGGTCCCTCTTCATAGGAGACATCTTCATCGACATTAACATTAACCCAATCCAAAATGTGAGATGGATCTGGTTCATACTTTCGTAGAATCGACACATGAAAAACATTGTGAACCTTGTCCATCTGTGGTCGCAATGCAAGTCTATAGGCCAGCTCTCCCACACGGTCCAAAATCTCAAACGGTCTAATAAATCGTGGCGATAACTTGCCACTTTTCCCAAATATCATCAATCCCTTCCATGGAGAAACTCGTAAGAAAACATGATCTCCCACCTCAAAAGATAGCGGTCGTCTCCTGTGATACCTCTCGGATCCGAGACGCGGGTTGATCAGGCGCAAGCCCGAACCCGAGGGAATACCAAACAATTAATATGTTAAAACGAACACGGAATACAAAATAATGAATTAAAGAAATAAATAATAACGCTGAACGAATACTAAATAATATAATCCTTAAATCATAATAATAAATTTCAACTTCCCAAAACCTCCAATCCATACAACTCGGGAATCCATCCAATGGACCCCTCATTAAAATCCCAAACTAAAACTAAAACAACTGAAGTAAAATCTAAAGCTGAACATAGAGAGTATTCCTACGTAGTCGGAGGAATGAGTGTCTGTATCTGCTCTGCACGTCCAAGCTCTAACCCTGGAACTGACGAACACCTGAAAAATAAAAAAGTGGGTCGGGCCCACATGCAAGTCCTATTCTACTACAATCCAAGCAGTAATCTGATACGCAGATACATCCTAGATAACTCAACAATATCGATCTAGTCCATACATATATATATCCATACTAAGGGACATTCACTAGACTACAGTAAGGGTCTCAACCTGAATAGAAGGCAACATGCGAAAACGCACCCAAAGGTTGGCATGAGTACCTAGACCTAACAGGGAACACCTCAACCTACTTTAACCAGCTACGCATCCACTGCATATACGCACCCTAACCAACGAGTCTGAGACTCAAGTTCATCTCGTGGTACCATCCGTCCAAAACCAGGGTATGTCATTCAAATACTTATTGAGATGACATACAATAGACAAACTAGTTAGTCACTCAACTTATTCAGTTGATATGACTTAACTACCATCCATTAATCCAGGAAGCCATTCAACTTAGTCGCAGTTGATCTGACTCAATCACAATTTGGATTCAAAATTTTTCAATCCATTCTTTAATCCATTAGAGTAGGTTTAAGCGTTTTGAGCTAAACTGTACCTAGTATGTCACTGTCCCATACCGGTGCATACAATCCTCCATATCCATGTAAATTACAAAACATAATAATAAGCTAGTAATTTACAATCCAAACCATTATCCAATCATTTCAGAAAAGTATTTAAAATTTTAGCAATATAAATCCAGCATTAATTCATGTAATTGCACTAGAGAATTTGATATTCCAACAATTAACATCCAGAGCATGCATAGTTCAAACCTTAAACATAAAATGATCTATCATGCATCCAGTATAAGATTTATAATCCATTATGTTGCCTAAAATTAAGCTAAGCAATTTGGTTATTTCTATCCATTATTAGTATGCTATGTTGTATGCTTTTATACTGATTCATCCTTTAAATAATTTATAAAAAATTATTTACATATCCGTATTGTCAAATTTCCTAAGCATAAGAAGTGTATTATGCATTTTAGAACCACCCAAAGTCCATTTAACCCATTTAGATTACTTATAATAGGTTCCAAAATAATTTTGGGCAATTAAAACTAAGTTCCAGGTCGCGGCCCAACTTAGTCGGCTCAATTGCCAACTGAGCAGGCTAAGTTGCCAACTTAGTCGGCTCAGTTCCCAATTGAGTCAGCTAAGTTGATGCTGAAGCCGTCTTCTTCTTCCGTTCAGCCCCTGTAAGCCCCAGAACTCCATTGTTAAGGCCTCTAAGCTTCAACCTACGTCCTATACGTCCATACTAAATTATTTTAAGTATTTTAACATGCAAAAATTTATCTTAAACAACAATTATGCATCAAAA